TATAGCTATCTGCTTCACGTCTTAATCGGTCGAGTATACGAAGGGAATATTGCTGTTGCATATTACATAGACAGTAACTGGGAAGGTGTATTATACTCTAAGAAGCTCCTCTTCCGAACGGCTAGAACATTGTCTGTTAATAGAGTAATATCACGTATGAATGGAAATATCGATGTACAAATGAATTATGTAAATTGCAATATTGCAGGAATTATGAAAAACTGAATATATATTATTATCTGAAATCAAAATTAAAGCAATTTATTAATGATAATGAGAGAGTTGAAAAAGAAATGATAGAAAAGATTCAAAAAATTAAATTTAAAAGGAGGGCAAAAATTTACATGATATGTGAATAATTATAAATTTAATATTTTTTAATTACAAAAGATTGATGAACATTATTGATAATATTACTAATTCGATTGACTGATAATATAATACCAAATAATAATACCATTGATGAGAGGTATGTATAATAATTGCGTATGCCGTTGCAGAAGAGAGACGGGTTATGGCAATGATAATGTTCGAATATATGATAAACTGTTATAAATATGTGTAAATTTCAATTGGCCGATAAATACGATACAAGTAACTAATTGCTTTTAAAAAATAATAACGTGAAAATGATGATTCGATCTATAAATGAATACCATCGATTCTTTCAATAATTCTAGTCACAATATCATATGCGGTTTGGTTTACTAAATTTTATATGTCACGTTACTGTTATGGAATTAAATACGTGTCACGTTAAATATTTTAGTGATTATTTATAAAAAAAAGTATAGTTTATTGATTTGATTTTATGTGCGTTACACGAGAATGTAATTTATAGGTGAAATAGATATATACGTGAATTTCTATTCAGCACAAAACTTTGTATATCGGTGTATTATTCGGGATGTTAAGCAGTGTTCATATTCGTGAATAATCACGTATTATTTCCAATCTCTGATTGGGACGGTAATTAATTATCGATCAGATTTTATCTGTACTTTAGGAATTTCTCTTCCAGTAGTTATTATATTTGAAAAACTGTCCGTTATACATTTAGAATTTATATTCTCTTGATATTCTATTGATATTCCTTGTTCTATTATCATGTACATGTATATATTACATTATTCAATACGATTGAATTCAGTCCAACGGGCAAGTTAATCAGCGCTTCACAAATTGGTGTATTTTGTGAATTAGAGATTATTTAAAAATCATTATGAATTATAAGGAACATGTAGACATTTGATAAATAATTATTAATTGTTGATTAATTGTCGAATAACACTAGGCTATTGATAATCCCTCGAGTATTAATAATTAACAATTATTTTTTGTATTTGTAAGTAATCGATATTTGGTCGAGTATCGAATTTATTTCAGCGCAAGAAAGATAAAGAGATTTACTTGTATTATATATTTAATATATTTTTCAACAATATTAACTGACATATAGATATTTAATACGGTTAATCTTAATATCGAAATAATTGATTAATTTTAATGAATTTAATACGAAAGGTGGTTTAATGGTGCAACGAATTGCGTGAATCCGTACAATTGGTCGATTGTGAATTCGAATAAGCCACCAAAGTGCAATAATCTCATGAATTAACGTCAACTGTCTATATAATACTCTATATTATTCACTTATTTAAAAAAATGATATCTCTTATTGTTATTAGAAGTGGATGACAAAATCAATAGTGCTTCAAGTGAATATATTTCTCTCGCCTGTTATCGACAGTGTTAGAATATCGATTGCGTCATCATCTCGAAGTATGACACGTATTTCACGAGAAACGTGTTCGCTCTTTCTGATCGTGCAAACGAGTAAACTTGGAAGCACGCGCGATTAGCATATAGCCACGCGCATTGGATACACCGTGCAGCGTATGTACGCGCATGCATATGCATCGCACAGGCCGGAATTAGCCTGAAATGTTTAATTGAACGAGCATCATCGGCGCGCAAGTCTGTTCGCCGTCGCGATTGATGTATTACGCAAACATAGTGCGCGCCAAATCGGCACCCACCTTAATAATATTAGCTGCGTAAGCTGCGGAACATGCTAGCGGTCTTGTTCAATTATTCTTTCTGTAATACTGTTTGTGAGTTTGCTGATAATTACAATATTTAATAAAAATGTTTTACGCATGTTCGATTTCCGATTTTAATAGATTATCAATTGATGAAATTATCGTGTCAATTTTGATCGCGCGGAATATGAAGATGGAAGAGAGAATAAAAAATGGCCATCAACAATGTAATTTAGGCAAATGCATTTCGTTTATTAATATATAGCTTTCCTTGCAACAACGGCATCAGAGTGAAAACTCAGTTTATACGAATCCGAGACGCGTGTACACGTGGGCCGGAGGGTGAACGAGAGGCAGTACGGGGTAAGGGATAGCAAAAATACCTGGTCCATGATAAATGCCCTGACACCCATCACGACGCAGCGACATCACGGGCGCGTCCCTCAAAACGGAGCTACAATGCGGCCTCTCGTAGCCATTATGCTAAAATGCAATCTCCTGATAACCGCAGCCGCGCCATCGCGGGGCTTAATCTCACCTATCTGTACAGCCGTCGGGGAACGGAAACAAAATGGGAATGAGAGACCGGTCCGCCGGGTGATTCGGGATAAAGAGAACGGCATTGGGGATGCGGAAGGGATGGCGAACGTAGAGAGAACGCGAGTGAACGGGAGAGAGAAGGAGAGGAAGAGAGGGGGAGACAGAGGGAGAGAGAGAGAGAATATGTGTAAGAGAGAGCGAGAGGGCGGACAATGGTGGCAGAGACTGGAGATACGAAAAGAAATAAATTCCGCAATCGATAAGCGTCCGGTTAAACGTCAAAGCGCACCGGTGTGGGTAGACGAGGCACTTTCGATCCTTGACAAAAAACACAATCGCCGATATCCAAGGGATATAGAACGCGCGCGCTCGCTTTGCCTCTCTTTTTCCGGCTCGCCCGCATCTTTTTTCTTTCACGGTGGAAAGTCGAGTCGATGTCGGAGTACACGTTGTAATGCCCGCGATCTCTTTGGACTCGTTTCTCTTTCGCTTGCACCTCCCCCCCCCCACACTCTTCTCTCTTTCTCTGCGGAACGGAGGGGCTCCGCAATTTTACTACATTGCCGATAGAGATATCCGGGCAAGAATTATTTCCGACTGCTTGAAGAATTGCAGTGAAGGGTTTGAAACGATATATTTGGTGCTAGTAAATCATGTTTTTCTCTGCGATCAATGTACAAAATTTGTTAAGTATAGATTTATTTGTTTTGCTTTTACTATTTGTCAGTGTAATACAAATAACAATCTCTATGAAATACATCGCGCGAATATGTTACATTTTCTACTTAATTCTTCCATTTAACAGTTTAAATTTATATTAAGATTTAAATTATATTTTATAGATAGTTTGAAATAAATGCTCCATTAATTTAATGATTGTAAAAGTCAAATTTCGAATCGAATCGATTCTATCTTATTTGCACGATAAACACATGTGTATATAATAAAATACATCATGGACCATTAGTGAATGTTGAATGTGAAATGCCGATATCATTAAACATTCCATTACAGTATATGACTCACTTATTAATATAAATTAATTTAATAAGATCTTACGTATAATTTGACGCAAAGCGTTTATTTGAATAAAATTCCCGAAACTTTATAATCGCGACTTTCTTATACGAATTGGAAACGTGAGAAATTGGATCAGAAAATCCTTGATTTTTCTTCGAAATAAACAGTTCATATATTGAGTTCATATCTCGTGTCACGACGTAATTCGTCCAACCATCGATAACTATTGCTGGAACTTAGTGGAGGAAAGAAGTATTCCCCGGCGGCAGCAAAATCGTTCGGCGTTTAGCTCTCTTCCGGGGAGCGTTCGGAAAGTTTAGATACCTCTTCGGGATCCTCTTCCAGCGAGCGAATAAGCAGGCATTAAAGGCTTAGACCACAGATCGAATTGGAAGTACCTACGTAGCATTCCTGCACCTTTCCTTTCCATCCTCCGCCTTTTCTCTTCTTCCGGCCGATTCCTCTCTTTTCTTCCCTGTCTTTCTTGCTCACTTGCTTACTTCTTGTTCGCCATTGCCCTACTGCGAGGAGCAAGCATGGCGCTGGGGTAGGTTAAGCATCGAGGCTCGACGGAACAAGGGCGCACAACTTAATGGAGTATAATCGTGCGATTTCGTCCGTGCGATTTCCCCCGGCGAAACACTCCCGGTGACTAGGTCAAGTCGAGGTGGTTCGTAAAGCCAGTTACAGTTACGGCTCTTCCTTGATTTTTTTCCAAGTCGTGAATAATGTATCGTAGCGCGGTGATAAGTGATCGCAGGGTGAGAGGTTACCGGTCGTGAAGCTCGCGAAATTATGCTCGCACAGATCGGGGCGAACGGAACGTTTTCCTTTCCACCATACGGCTTGGAATATGTCCGTTTCCTGCCCGGCACTTAGCACCCATACATGCGGGAACAATGGCATGCTTTCACGCTGCCCGTCTACGCTTGAATAAGTATGTAACCATAATCTGTGATTGTATATTTACCGTAAACCATAAACGGGCATTATTCATTCCGGCATTAGACAAACAACATTATTATCACTGTAATTCTGGCACGCCGGCATACTAAAGCATTATAATTACATAATAATTCAGTAATTGATAGACAAATGTGCAAATAAAAGTAATTGGTTAGATAGACCTTTCATCTTTTACATTAATACACTTATATAGATGCAATCCATTTTTTATGTACACGCGAATGTTAATAAACACAGGATATAATGTGTATTTGTCATGTCTTTAATATTCTCAATTGTGCACCATTGTTACGTCAGAAACATTTCCATTTGCCGTTGAAAGCATGAATCTATGAATTTTACATTTTAATACATTATTCTCTCATCTGTGATGATTCCAACGTTTTTGCCAGTATATTTGGAATTAACATGGACTTTTCTCTTTTTTTCCAGTGCCACCGAATCACCGCGGCGCAATCAAATCTGAATTTCGACGTTTCCAGAGCGCATTCGGTAAGTTTGACATTTATTGAACATAATATATCCAGTAGAATCTTAAACGTACAGTTTCAATAGATGAAACTATTTCTGTTAATTACACAACATTATATGAAGCGACAATCTTTATCAAAAAGTAGATATTATAGTAATTTACTAGATATTATTTTCTTTTAATCTGAAGAGTTCGAACATTATTTGACAATTGAAGAGAAAATTTGTTTTCATCGCTTATAATTCAAAAACTATTTATACTTCGGGCACTTTCATTACGAAAAAATTATTTCACTTTTCCACGAGAAACATCATTCTGTTCACCGAGCACTCCGTGTAGAACGGTCTTGTTGTCCGATGCTTTCGAAAACCTCTCTTCGTGATTACCTCTTGTGGTATGCCTTCGTACCGTGTAAGAAATGAGCTTAAAATTGAAGTCGAGTTTAAAATCGCTCCGTCGACCTACAAGCGCGACCTGTCGTGACAGGAAGCGAGAACGTAGGAATGGCCGAGGTTAAGTATTGAGGATCGTCAAGCTACTCGACCGACTTCGTTTCAAAGATGAAAGCGCTCTTAATGGAGTACCATTGTCTGGTTTCGTCCAAGTTTCGTCCCGTGACGTTCCGGGGTTCGCCCGAGCGATGGCACTCGTCGGTTTTATCGTTCAGGATTTCGGGTTCGACCGGTCGCCACTTACAAGGTGATCCCCAAGACAAGGGAACTGCTCGAACCGTCGGCGTAATTAATGGCTTCATCAGTTCGCCGACTAATTAATTCGCCGTCTCGGACGTGTCACTTCCCCGTGAAAACTTCCTCTCGACTCTTCTAATACGTGGGTTCGAATATTAATCGGTCAGAGAGAAAAAAAACGAGAAACTTGTTGCCGAGAACAATGATTGAAATGTTCGTGATGGTAAAAATTTTTTCACGTATTATGTTTCAAACAAATCTTTATTTTAATGAAATCCGAGTGTATAAAATTTTAGTATTATAAATTAACACAAAATGAAAGTTACATATCTTTTTCATATGCGCTTTATTGTACTTACATGCGTAATGAATTATATATAAAATGTTTCAAGATTTTATTCTCAATTTACACTTTTTTTTAATAACTTGGAATCGATCTTTTTCTTGAAGAAATTTTGAAACTAAACTTGATTGTAACTTTTAACGTTAAACGTGTATAAAGTACGCCAATGTTTCATTTTGATTCATAACAAATTTGAAACTTGTGGTATTTGGAGAAATTCTTGTAAGTCAATTAATTGATAATGCTTTTACGAGAAAAGCGTCGAAAGTATCGTTTGAACGCGTAATTATTAATTGTTTTTAGTTGTTTCGATATAAAACGAAGAGTGTTGGCACATGCAGGTTTACGCTTGTGCGAGAGGCAATAATTTGCAAAACTCATTAACACGCTCAATCCAATTTAAAATCTCTCTCGCGCTCAGTCTCTCCAAATTTCCCGACGTTGAGCTTCCGCATATGCATTATGTGTTATGCATATGTTCCCAGTCGCGCCCCACTGCGCGTTACGTTCTGATGATCAAGACTGAGAGATGTCTTAGATATATCTCAAAACCGCGAATATTAGAAACAAGATATAGCAAGAGACGAAAGGAGCATTATATATATATTACATTTAATTATTTTATATTTAAAAATAATTAATTAAAAGTGCAATTAAATAACAAAATTATATTTTTAGGTTAATTTTAAATCGATTTTTTAAATGAAAATCTATTTCTAGATGAATATATTTAATATAGCAAATTATACAGTTTTAGAAGAACTTAACGTATAATAAATTTGTCGAAAAAAAAAGCCGAAAGGAAAGAAAATGGAAGGAAATCGTGTGATTATCTATATGTATTACTAAACTGATCTACGCAAAAATTCAGACGTTTCCGAAGAATCATCACCCCACCTTAATCCTCAAATTTATCATCGTTCGATTCGCCTTCTCATGATGGCATGTCGATATTTTTCGAATACGTTCAAGGTAAAATCGCGATAGGCGTTAGAAGGAGATTTGCAACCTTCTCAGAATGAGACGGAGGTCGAGAATGACTCGACAAAGCGGAAAAGGGGATCAACGAAAAGTAGGGGGAGGACGAGTTACTTGGAAAGGTTACGGTAATCCGCCGAGCTCGTCGTGTAATTTCCCATAAGGCGGCGGAGGCGGTACTTCGCTTTTGTCGAAACTTTTCGAGAGTATATTTTGCCTCCCCTCAGTATGTCTACATCGCTTTTCTCTTCTCATCGTCTCACATCATTTACACCTTCTCGTCTCAATTTATCTACAACACACACAATTTTGATTCGTTATTTTAATTTATTTTTTTTTTAATTTACTGCTTTTATATAATTTGTTTGCTTTTTTCTCGCTTGATTTTAATTCGTGTGTGTGTGTTTTTTTTATTAATTTATTTTTCATTGTCTCTTTTCTCATTTTGTCAGTCTCGTTGGGGTGTACTTCGAGCGGTGCAGTTCCGCGCGTGTCGCGAGGCTTAATTAGGCTAATGGATATCCGTAATTGATGCAACGAGACTGTCCACTCGAGCGCTGAATAAAACCCGCCACCGACCTCGCCGCGCGAGATGATATAATTCGCCAAGTCGACGAGAAACTGGTTCGATGAATTTTTTGTGCACACGCTTGATGGTGTTCTTAAGATGCATTATTCAAAGTTTATCTTATCTTGCGAATTATGAAGTTCCATACTGTACGTACAGAATAATGGGAACAGATAACTTTTACATATACCGCGGATCAAGACTGAAAATCACATTAATGAAAAAATATGAAGCATTAAAAGAGCAAAAATTCAACAAATTCATGAAAAGAGCAATAATAACAAAAATATTGAGTTTCTTCGAACTCTTCAATTCTTAAGTATTTTAAAATTACGATTGGAATAATTTAGAATATTAAATTTTTTACAATGGCGTAATATGTAAATTGAAAGAAATTAAAACAATGCTGATGAATTTTATTAAAGAAATTATAAAGGAAAATTTTATGATCTGAAAAATTTGTATTAAGCATTCGCAACAATAAAAATACTGAGATTAATGCTTATTGCACGCAAGTCGGAATAGAAAAATATTCAAGGTTTATGCGATATTTTCATGTCGATTATCGCATTAATAACGCGCGGGAGATAACGTTGCGCTTTACATTTCTCATCATTTTTTCCCCCGACAGCGAACACGAGCGCGTAAAAATTGCGTCGCATTTCTCTCTGCTACGGATTCTGTGCGAAACCGCCAGCGCTGCGAAAACGCGCGGTCTGAAATATTAAACCGTGCTAAAAGCCTAAAGTTAAACATCGCGCCCGATTAATTACGAAAACATGACCGCGGGCGTAGAAGCACCGCGCCGCTCCTCGGTATCTCCGTATGTATTTTTCGCGCGAGCTTCGCCTTCCGCTTCCGTCGACATATCGCGCCGGCAAAGGTCGCGTCGGCGAAGGATGGAGAAAGGATAGGACAGGACGTATTCGGTTTCGCGAAATGCGACGGCGGTGCATTAAAGAGCGCTCCTTTTGCCCAGGAATATAATAGAATTTCGTGAGAGGAGCAGCCTTGAAGAAGATTAGAGCTGACCGCTTGTCCAAGTGAATAGACGCGTCTTTTATCTTGATTTCCGCGGCTCAATTAAAAGATTGTTTTTGTCGGTTCGAACAGAATATTGCGCGAATCGACGATGGCGTTAATACTGGCAAGACCGCACTTTTTTGCGGTCTTTCAGAATTCAAACTTACATCAAAGTTTTGCAGATATCAGCATTTTTCTTATTGAAAGAAGATTTCCGTCTGGATATGGATTTCTAGCAAAAACGCGGGAACATTTCAAGATGCTAGACGCTTTTGCGCTTTGTGTGTAGCGGTGCTAACGCGTTGAACGCCCGTGGCGATTAAAATCTATCCAAAGCCTTTGCTAATCTCACGCTGGACTCTTTTAAAAACTAAAGAGATCCCGCGGAATCCCTACAGAGTGGCCTAGTATTTAATAATTCTATCGAGAATATAGTGCGCCGAATTGGCACGGGGCCAACACAAATATTCTAGTTGAACGTAAAGATGTATGTATTTGTAAGTGCATTTACGGGCGGGCAATAAGATGTTTCGTCGGGCACGATAAAAAGCGAAGCCGTGGTAGATAGATACGCTAATGTCGCTACTCGCGAGCGGGAGAAATATAATGGAATCTATGACGCGTAAACGCGTCTTACGGAGCTGCGCGCGGTAGGAAGATAAGCTGCACCGCCGCCGCTGCCGTCGTCTCCCGTATGCAACGAATGGGCTAAGTCACTCTCGGCGGCACTCGCGAAATCGATAACGAGCCTCGCCCGCCGTCGCCGCCGCGCCGTCACGCTTAGGAGACAGTCGACCGACGGGCGAGAAACCGCGTCGTCGAGGTTCTCCGACGTGGAATTAACCCTTCCGATATTATAACTTCCGCGTCATGAAGTGTAAAGGGCGAAGAAAAGAAGACTCTCGAAAAATCGACTATGAATCTATTAAAGCGAGGGTCGTGGCTTTTCACACTGTTATAAATATGAGAATTCAGTGCCGCTTTATACCGATAAGCGTAAAAATATTTATTCGAATTGCTCGTATTATTTTATTATATTTAAAAAAAAAATAAGAAGCAGTAAAAGAAAAATTCTTTGTCAGTACACATTACAATAATATGAGAGATACAAACAGAGCGAGGAAACTGTAACGAGGATATAGAAGTATAATTACAGTTTTAACTATAGATATACTAGAGTTGAGTTCACGACTGTGCGCTTCTCATAGGCAAAGCGGACATTATCTCGCGTCCTGGGACAGAAAGTTTCCATTAAACGCAACAGAATAGACAAAACGGAGTTCTTAAGAACTCTTATCTTCGCCCGTAGTCCGCCATTACGAGTGGCAAGCATTTGTGGAATTTATTTTTAATCGGATCGCCGCGACGGCGGGAGAATAAAAAGAATCCTCCCTTTGGCCACTGCCTTCCTTTTCTTCC